ATATATATATATATAAAAACACACACACACATATGCACACTTACAAACATATATATTCATATATTCTGGATGCACTGAACAGTGCCTCTGCAAAGAACAATGCATTACAAATGAAATGTTATTATATAACCAATGCTGCAAATCTTACTAAAACATACCATGCAGCATGCTTGCTCCCACACATCACATGCTACCTCTGGGCTCTGCATGTAGTGGGGATGCAAATGGTGCAGTGAAATGCTCCAGTTGCATCCCTGCCCCTCCTTGATTCTTGCCCATTCACAAATTGCCTTGTTTTGGTCTCAAAGAAAACAAGGAATTCTGTAACTAGAAGACTCGAGGAGGGTCAGGTACGTGACATGATCTCTCCTCATCCAATCACAGTATGCCTTGTATTCTTTGAGAAAAATAGAAGACATTTTGTGAATAGGCAAGTAGCAATGAGGGGCAGGGGTGCAACTGGAGTGCTATGTGTAAGAGCCAGCATGTTGCAAGGTAGGGTATTTATACTTTGCAGCAGCTATCCACACATAACATACAGCTTTTTAGTGATAATTCAAACACTCAGTGTGGTGTTTACATTTTCATTTTTTCCTAGAGTTTGGCTTTAAGTTTGCTTTTCAAATATATGCTATCAGATATAAACTAACTTTCTATCTTTAGTTTGAATTAATCCTATTTGCCTGTTGCCATCAGATAGCATGTGGACAGCCTATGGAAAAAGGTTTTATGAAAAGAGCAAAATAATGGGATGTGTCGATTTACAAAGGCGGGGTAAGAATTATCTGTACAAATATTCCTGAACAATTATATTTTTCTCTGGGATTTAAAAAAAAAATATCATAGGCAAAGTATGTAATCTATGAAGTTAAAAACCTTAATACCTATATAGCATAGCAGTTCAGAGTTCAGAATTGTTTCACAGGCAGTGTTGTCATAGCACATGTTTAACGTACCTAAAACAGTCAATAAATAACCAAATTTGACTCTAATGAAAAATGTGTTTCATCATAGATGTCCCAGATTTACATTTTCTATGTGCACTTTAGACAACCTATTTAAAAAGGTTAAATGTTAATTTAGAATAATATGACATGTATATGTGGCATCTAATAAACCTGATATAGAATAACAAGTCTCAAAAAGGTTGAATACTTCCATGGATCTATTTTATTTCTAGAACCATAAATCATTAATAATGCTGCCCAAACTCTTGACTCCCTTTGCTCCTGCCAGCTTGCCCTTTAATCCTTTCCAAACACGGGAATTGTAACCTCTCTCCTATCTGCTATTTATCAGAGTTACAAAGTGCTGAAGACAATAAGCATTTCATTCATCATCTAAATGACATCTTGTAAATAATACAGCACTGAAACTTAAAATTATTGAATAAGGAAACTAGGAATCTATCGATATCCCTAAGCCAGCTATATAGTTAAGATGAAGAAGCACAAAATATAAGGTTCTTATAGTAAAAATTATCGTTTCATGGATTTTTTTAAAGTAATATTTTACTCTTATACAATATAGCTTGCTGTATGTGGAATACAGAAAAGATTGGGTAACGGAAAGGCAGAGTTTTATATAGAAATTCAAGTTGTGTATGGCCAGGTTAAGCTGTCCACTGCAAGCAACCATTTAGCCTTGGGCTACTGAGGGATCGTAGATAATGAGGTAATGTTATCTTATTACCATCACATTGCTTTCAGTGTGTTGCAAATGAGATGACTGCCAAGAGGTAGCATGAGATTTAATTGCCCATATAGGCCTAGCGTAAGGTTGAACTTTTCAGGTTTAGTCTGTTGAATGTGAAAATTGCTTGCTATTTGAAAGGGTTGTCTATTAACAGAATATTAACCATATTTAAAGTACTTGATTAAAGCATTGCTAATGGTTCCATTTATGACAACCCATCAGGGGGTATTAAGGAGGGAGTAATTCTCATAGGAATTTTCCACCTTTTTGGAAAAGCTATCTTAATAGAGCCAAATCCTTCCCTCATGTAAGGGTAAAAACCTGAAGTACCACTTTTTACACGCTCATCATTTTGCAGTCATATTAACAACTTCTGGGAATCCAGCCACTCACTTAAAGGGGACCTGGACCTGCTATAGGGCACATCTAAAAATGCAAATTGTGCATAATTAGTACACCTAACGATTTACCTTTTGTATATCTGCAGTGTGAGACCATCTAAGACACTGCTGCCTCTCACTGCTAGTCTTACGAAATATGGAGTGAGATTTGGTGATGTCACTACGGTGCTGATTGATAGAGTGGAATCTGCACTGCATGCATCTCTCTGCTTCTACTTTGTTTAATTTGTGGATCTGTGCTTTGTGATCCTCCATTGGTGCTTCTTGAATAGTTTGCCACCAGTCATCAGATCATCAATCATCAAGGGAACAGTTGTGGCTTGAGGAAGGCAAAGCTATATTCCTCTAGTAAGATGGCTACACAGAGAAAGTGTGGAACAAGGCAAGCCAGCAATGGGAAAAAAGATCAGCTGCAGGGAGCCTACATGCAATACTGGTGACTAGTCCTCTGCATGCCTTTTTTGGGCACACCTTTCACAGTTCAAGTCCTCATTTTAAAAAGAGGCAGACATCTCAAGACCCATTGTATTGGGTAGATATTTGTCTGTCTATTGGCAGCCCAGGACAGTTGTTTCTTCAGAAACTCTCTTGCATGAGGCCTTGATAAAATTAAAAAAATCTCAAGAATGATCATATAAGCTTTTTCAAGCCAGTTTAGTTACCCAATAGCTAGGTATGTATCATATTTACAAATCACTTTATCCTTTGAGATCTGTGCAAGCTCCCATACAGCCAAAGTCATATAAACATATATCACTCTAAACTATAGCCAATGTTATTTTGCTATGCATAATAGTCTTTTAACTGCTCTTCTGCTTTTTATCACATTGGGATATAATAGATGGAAACAAATAAAACATATGCCATATTTTTGTTAGCTCAAGATTTGTTTTAAGACTTTCACATTGAAAGGTGAGATCAGTTTAAGTTCAGATATGACAAGTTAAGCAGGAGCCTGGGCTGACAGCCTATTCCCTCAGAAAATATACGTCCTTGAATGAGACATTCCAGAACCTTCCTACACAACCTTGCTGTTAGAATGCGAAATAATTAGAAGAATAACT